CATCTGCACTGTCCCAGGGTCTCAGGGGGCACCCCCTCCATACTCACTGACAGCCTGAGCGTAGCTCCCTCCTTTTCCACCTGCAGGAAGGAAACATCCTGTGAGAGACCAGGGAGGGGGCAGGGCCATGAGGTCCTAAAGGAGCCTAGTCCTGGGCCCAGAGAAGTTCCCAGAACCCTGTGTCTGTACAGACCCAAGGCAGGGTCAGGAAACCTGAGGAAAGTGCATGTGCAGGGACTGGACCCACCTCCCTCCTGCAGGTCTGTCCTCAGCAGGGACCTGCCCTCTGACCTGGGACTGCTGGGGCCGGGTCCCCATCACTAGGACCATCAGGTGACACATGTGTCCCTCAGTGTCACACCTGCCTCACTAAACAGGAAGTCAGCACACAGACCTCACACTGGCAATCCCAGGCCTGGGGACGGTGCTTCCCATGAATGAAGCAGGACACACGTCTCCCTGGGATGACACCCCAGGGGGACACGAAACTCACACCCCCCGTTCCCCACCTGAGCGCCTCCTCGCCCACATCACAGCTCCAGCCACCACAGCTCCGAGGACAACCAGGCCAACAACAGCGCCCATGATGATGAAGGGGGTCTGAGAGGGAGGCTCTGGGAAGAGAGGGGAAGGGAGGGTGAGGCCCCGACCCCCAGGCCTCAGCCCTGAGCCCACTGGAGCCCCCAGAGGCCCCTGCTTCCCTGGGAAGAGGCTCTGTGCCCACGTCCCCTCCTCACCCCATCTCAGGCTCTGGGGCCCCAGCAGCCCCTCGTGCTGCACAACACAGGTGTATCTCTGCTCCTCTCCAGGGGGCACCCCCAGGGACGCCCACTTCTGGAAGGTCCCGTCCCCCGAGGGCCTGGTCTCCACAAACTCCATGTCCTGGGTCTGGTCCTGCCCGTCTCGCTGCCAGGTCAGGCTGATGTCCGCAGGGTAGAAGCCCAGGGCCCAGCACCTCAGGGTGACCTCATGCTCAGAGATGGGGTGGCGGGTCACGTGTGTCTTTGGAGGGTCTGAGGGAAGGGGGAGAAGATTCAGGAACTTTGCTTCCACCCTGGGACCCTCCAGCAGGGCTCAGGTGACCATCCTGAGAAGGGACAGGACACTGGGGTGGGGGAAGGGACACAACCCAGACACCAGCCTGGACAGAGGCAGGGGGATGACCTATTGGTCTCTTAGGAACTTCCAGGGTCAGAGCAGCACAGCCCAGGGCCGGAGGGAGGCAGGTCTGTGGGGGCAGAAAAGGCATTTCTGGTCCTGACCTGGGGGGAGGCCAAGGACTCAGAGCAGCGGGGCTCAGACCTCAGACAGGGGGTGTGGGGCAGGGAACAGGCCCGAGAGAAAGGCCCCCTGGGGCCCAGAGCCACCCCAGGGTCCATGGGAACCGCTGAGCGCCTGTTTCAGGGGTGGTCTCCCCTGCACCCCCGGAGACTGCACCCTAACTGTCCCTGAGAGGAGGGCGGGCGTCACTCTCTGGTCCCTGACCTCAAAGTTCCGGGGACTCCATCCCTGCACCTAAAGCAGGGGTGTCTGACACGGACCCCATTTCCCGTCTCCTCGCGGGAGCCCCACCCGAGGGAGAGGAGGGCGCCGCGGGCCCTGTACCTGTGCGCAGCAGGGTCTCCTTCCCCTTCTCCAGGTAACGGCGCAGCGAGTCCACGCACCGGCCCTCCAGGTAGTTCCTGACTCTCTCCGCCTCACCGGCCGCCTCCCACTTGCTCCGGGTGATCTGAGCCGCCGTGTCGGCCGCGGTCCAGGAGCGCAGGTCCTC